TTACTCAAGAAAGGTCAGACTATTAAAAACATGGTTTAACACCTCAGCAACTATTAAACTGTAACTGTAATTACACCACAGACTCCTATTTACACCACCACCACCACCACCATCAGACCTGTTCCCTATCCCAATACTTTCCCACTGCCATTAGACCCAAGACCCCAGTCAGACTCGACTCAACCTAACCTCAAAACCACCCTCACCCGCACTCCCCCCGCAACTGTGACTGGACCCAATCCCCTTCCTACAGTGGGACACGACCAGACACAATACCCCCACCGGTGGATCTGAACACCCACTCCCTTTCACACTGCTGGATTGCTGGATTGGGTTTGACCTGACCACGCTCTCCCATTGCCAGACAGCACCCCCCACCGCCTCCACTTCCAGACCCAAATCCCCAGATCAGACATGCAAATCCTCTCAAACCATCTGGGATCACAGAACAATTCTTCTGGATCCTCTGGATACTGGCCTAATCCTCTCAAATCCACTGGGACCTAGGTCTAATCCTCTCAAATTCTGAGGCACCATGCTAATTCTCTCTAACGCTTTGGGAGACCTGGCTAATAGACTTGAATCCATTGAGACCTGAGCCTAATTCCCTGGAAAATCTGGCTCATTGTTTTTTCAAGATGGATAATCTGCAGGCCACTTTAATTCCAACCTGTTTTCTGGGGGCTTCAACCTTTTAAAATTTATATCAGAGTTGGATGCAGATATACTGAAGATGTGACTACTAAATTTGCTGATGGTAGGTGGAAATGTGAGTTATCAGGAGCACATTGCAGGCTATGAAAGGGATATAGGATCAGTTAAGTGAACAGGCAGAAATGTGGCTAATGGAGTTTAATGTGTGGAAATGTAAAAGGGTCAATTTTGGCAGAAAGAATAAAAAGCAAAGATATTATCCAAATGGTGAGAGCTTGCAGAGCTATAAGATGCCAAGGGATTGGAATGTTCTAGTGCATGAATCAGAAACATTTATTCTGCAGGTCCAGCAAGTAATTAGGAAAGCTACTTGAATGTTGTTATTTACTACAATGTGAATTGGATGCAAAAATAGGGAATTTATGTGCCAGTTTTACAGGGTACTAGTGAGATCACATTTGTGCACAGTATTGATCTCTTTATTTAAGAGAAGATATGAATGTGTTTGAAGCATTTCAGAGAAGGTTGAATACACCAATACCTGGAAAAAAATGGGGTTACCTTTTTCATGTTCAAAGAATAAGAGGCATCTTGATAGAAACACATGAAATCCTGAGAGGTTTTGACAGGGTAGATGTGGAAAGGATATTTCCCCTTGCTGGAGAATCTCGAGTGAGGGTTCACCATTTAAAAATAAGGGATTACCCGTTTTAAGACAGAAGTGAGACTTTCTTATTTCTCAGAGTAACGCGAATCTTTGGAAATTTATTCCTAAAAAGGCAGTTGAGATGGAGTTTTTGAATAGGCTTAATGCAGTGGTGGATAAATTGGCTAAGAAAAGGGGATTAAAGATTAATGGGGCCAAATGGAAATGTGGAGTTGAAATTACAATCAAATCAGCCATGACCTTATTAAAAATGGTTGAGAAAACTTGAGAGATGACTGATGTCCTTCAATTGTCTGTTCGTACGACTCTAAACCCATTTCAACTCATCTGCTGCTGAAATCCTTAAACTTTGAAGAGGTATTACTTACCTCCAAATTTGAATATTTCAATACTTTATTGGGTGGCCTTGCATTTTCACCCTCTATAAACTCAAGCTGTTCCAAAACTCTACTGCCCAGATCCTGTCCTCTTCACCTGTTAGCCTTATGTTGGCTCACAGTCCAACAACACCTCAACTTGAAAATGACCAGCCTTTTTCATATCCATCTCTGGGTCTTGTTCTTCCTATTCTTTGTACCTTTCCCTAGCGCTACAACAAATATTCTCACTAAGCTGCATGCAACTGGATCAGGCAACATTACAGCAGGTACTGTTCAGGCTTTGTTCCCTTGTGGGCTCTGATCCTCACGTATGTGTGAGACCTGACCCCCTGGAGTCCTTCCCAATGTTCAAGACACAGCCCCTATGGGCCCAGTAAAGGGTGGCTGAAGCTGCAAAGCCCAATAACAGAGGTTGAAGCTTTGGGAATCCAGCAGTCCCATCAAGACTCACCTCAATGAAGCTGGAAAAAAGTTCACAGAGGCTGGGATCCCGTCACCAAGTCACCTTACATTTACATGTGGAGAGACCTTGACACTGATCCAGCTCCTTCAGAACCTCTGACACTCCTGTTTATGTCTGTCAGCTAGGACTCCCTAATTGGGCCAGATTAACAGCCCCAATCAGGGAACTTGTATTCTATGAGATCCACCTAGCTGACTTTGTTACAATCGCTACAGACCTCAGAGTACAAAAGCAAGGGTATTGCAGTGAACTTTTCTAAAGGACAAATAATACCTCAGCTGCAGTACTTTAACCAATTCCGGGCACTCACATTAGGAAGGTTGTGGAGGCATGAGAGAGAGTTCAAAAAGGATTTACTGGAAGGCTTCCAGGGATGAGGGCTGTCAGATATGTTTGCACATTAATGACGAGGAGGTTGAAAAGAAATTGACTGGAAGGATTCAATATCATGAGGGGTCCACTCAGAACAAATAGGGAACTTTTTCTCTTTAGGGTTGAGAACCAAGGGGATATCAGTTTAAGGTGATTAACAGAAAAGAACCAATGAGGAAAACAGTGTTCATGTAAAATGTGATTCGGGATTGGAATGTGCTGCTTGAGAAACTGGAGGGGATTGAGTCAATCCGACTCCCAAAGGCAAATTTGATAATTATATGATAAATATTTACAGGGCTGAGGAGAGTAGGTAGGGGTGAGGGATGAATTGAGTTCTTGCAGGGATCCAGCAGGATATGTCAGGCTGATTGGCCCCTCCCTGCACTGTAGCCATTCTATCATGTTTATGATGCTCCGGGGGAAACAATACTTGCAAAGAGTTGCTATAACCTGAAATGCCGAACAAAAGATGGTGAATGTAATTTTCTTGCTTAACAGTTGCTTTATTTCACTCCTAGGCATTCAGGTTTTATGTGATCACCAGACAAAAATAAAATTTCACATCAAAATCACAATGGTACATTTAATGCAGATTAACTCACACACAATTCAGTGTTGCAAACCAACAGGAAAAATGTAGGGTTAAAATGCAGTTTCAGAATTCCAGTAAAAGAAATACTTGTTTCTTTTATACATAGTGTATTTCACAACTTTGGGCCTTTTCAGAGCATTTTATGCCAACGAATTACTTTGGGAATATAGTCATTGCTGTAATTTAGAAAATTCAGGGATAAAATAGGCCCGTACCCATTGGAATTTAGAAGAATGAGCAGTGACCTTATTGAAACATGTACGATTCTGAGGGGACTTGGCAGGGTAGATGTGGAAAGGTTGTTTCCCCTTGTGGGAGAGTCTGGGACCAGAGGACATGATCCCAGAATAAGGAGTTGCACATTTAAGGCAGAAATGAGGAGGAATTTCTTCCCTCAGAGAATAGTAAATCTGTGGAATTCTTTATCACAAAGGGCCGTTGAGGCTATGTTGGAAGGCATAATCAAGGCCAAAATAGGCAGATTTTTAATCAGTATGAAAGGTTATGGGAAAAGGGCAGGAAAGTGGAGTTTGGGATTACCAGATCAGCCATTGAATGGATGAGCAGACTTGATGGGCCAAATCAATGAGCTCAATTCTCCTCCTATACCTTACAGTCACAAGGTCTAGAAAGCTCTCACAAACCACAATGAGATAAGAGTCAGACCAATGTTGTTTGAAGGATAAGTGATTGCCAGGATGCTGGAGATCATACTTGAACTCTTCCTCAAAACATTTCCATTGAATCTTTTACTCCTGAGAACATAGGTAAGAATTGGTTTCATGTCTTGTCCAAAGGACAGTGCCTTCGGCAGTACAAAGTTGAGAGCTTGGTTAACTCAGTGGGTTGGACAGTTGGCGTTTGATACAGAAAGATACCAATAGCATGGGTTCAATTCCTATACTGCTGAGGTTACCATGAAGCACTCTCCTCAACTTCCCTCCTTTCCTAAGCTATGGTGACTCTCAGGTTACACTGCCACCAGTTGTCTCTCTGTCTCTCTCTCTCTCTCTCTAATGAGATGGTAGGACTGTAGTGCTTTTACCTTTACTCCCTCAGTATTTGTAAGCGTGCTAGCCAAGATTTTGTGCTCAAGTAGGGCTTAAATCTATGATATACTGATAAAGACATTGGTATTACCAATGAGTCATGGCCTTACTTGGGATGAATTTAATTACAGAAAGATAGCTAAATTGAGAACACTACCTTCATTTTGCAGTTGTATTTAGATTCCTGATTTCTTACACAAAGGAAGAAAATGTGCGAAAGATGTCAAAATATTGGGATGTTCAATACTTTTCATAGATATATTTGAGAATATGTAGTCAAGAAAAAATGTTTTTATTTGCATAAAGTTAACCCTAGTTCCTGGAGTGGAGTAGGGTAATATTTGAGGGGCTAGATTTGAGGGACACAGATTTGGGGAGCAATATTGGTGGGGCAGAAACCTTGGATGGTGGTGCAGGGCATTTCCAGGCCAAGGGAGAAAGACAACAGGAGAGGCTGCCAGTGTGTGTGCATGTGTGCGGCGTGTGCATGAAAGAGAGAGAGAAAGAGTGGAAAGAGAAAGAGCGGAAAAAGAGAGGGAGAGAGAGAGACAGTCCTATGGCGGAAACATAAAATAGACTGAGTCTATATTCGTTCGAGTTAAGAAGAATGAGAGGTCATTTCATTCACACAAGAAAAATTCTTACAGGGATCAACAGCTTAGATAGTGGAAATACTTTTGCCTGAGTTGGAAGTTCTAGAATCAGGGGACAGTCTGAGAAAAATGGGCAGACCATTTAAGACTGTGGTGAGGAGGCACTTCTTCTCAGAGGGGTTTTTTTGGAATTCTCTGTTGCAAAAGGTTGTGGCAGTTCAGTCATTAAATACCTTCAAGACTAAGCTCAATGGATTTCTACATATTACAGAGATAGCACAGGAAAGTTATGTTGAAGTGCATGATTAGTCATGATCTTATTAAATGGTAGAGCAGTATCGAAGGGTTGAGTGGCTTTTTCCCACCCACATTCTTAAGTAAGAGCCACCTTCCTATAGAGCAGATAAGTGGGAGAAACATCACCAAAGAGCCAGCACCGAAAGGACGGCCATCTTCTGTGCTGTACAGTTCTTTGATTCTACATCAAAGGGTCATCTTTCATCGCTGGATTCAACTTGCTAATCTTGTACACACTGATATTTTTATCCTCCACTCTGTGGACAAGTTCACAGTTAAAATGCTTAGGCAAAACCTCCTCATGGAAAGAGGTGGAGTGGTTCCCTCTGCGTAATTTGGTAGAGAGGTAAATGATGGTCGGTCCATAGCAGAGATGCAGCAGAGTCTTTAACAGCAATGGGTAGACGAGGGAGGTGTACACAATATCCGCGCCCAGGATGAAATCATAGTCGGTTGGAAAGTTGATATGGTCCTTACCCCAGGAAAGTGCACAGACCTTCGAACGATGCCTACAGTCAGCGGGGATGTTGACAGAGACATTATGTTCTATCTGGCTCAACACATTCTCTTTGTCTGTCATGGTAACGTCTCCACCTGACATGAAGAATGAAACATTATCAGATGGAATATTATCATTACCATTTACATGATAAATCAATTTCCAAACTTGACTGATCACAGAGAAAATGTTTGCATTCTAAGCTGGCGTAATGGAGACTGGCACACGGGGTTGGTTATACGTAGGGTTTTGAAGTGCAGAGTCTGTGCCATGCTGGGACTGTGATGTCAGTGTGGCTAAAGTGTACTGTAATCAGACCCTCTTATCTTCACAATGCAGCTTTGCATTTGAACTGATTTAGCCAAACACAACCCACATTAAGGTGGCAAAAAGCCAACCAGCCTGGAAAACCTAGCTGTGGATAATTCTTCTAGTGGTGAACAATCAGTAAACATAAATTTACACTAGGACAAATTTGAGTCGATGCAACACTTTATACTATATTGGTAGGTAGTTGAAAAGGGCAACAAAATGCACAACAATGGAAAAGAGCAGAAAAAATTGGGGTGAATGGATAGCCGACAAAAATCCAGCACGGACCTAATGAGGCAAATAGCCTCCTTCTGTAAAATATGCAAATATTTTATAACTTTTCCCAGTCCAGGAAAAATCTTTATCAAAAGATCAGGGTAGTGCTATTGTATGGCATTTC